TAAATCAAGAATTCCTAGACAAGCATCGAATTGACTTTGTGGCACATGATGCTCTTCCGTAAGACTTCTTTTTTCATTTCAGTTAATGTTCTTATCATTAGTGTCTAGTAGATTTCAAATTTATTTTCACATCCATTTTCACTGCGCTGTTTATACCTTTATAAATTTCCTAAGATCTTGGTTATTTGAACATCTTACAGTTATGCTGATGCTAGTGGAGCAGGAAAGGATGTCTATGAATTTGTATGTGTCTTTCTACGCAGATATTCGTAGTGTTTCCATTATTATATTTTCAAGTGTATCAAATAAGGAGGGAACGAAGTCGCTACCTGTCTTGAGCTCTATGTTTCTTCAAGGTGATGGGTATCAGACTTTTTTAATGTAGATTAGTTGCTTCAACAGGTCAAAGCTGTTGGTAGGTTTAAAGAAACAAAACGTACTGAAGGAATTTCTACTTCTGACATTATTATGAGGATAGTTAAAGACTATAACCAGTATGTCATCCGCAATCTGGATCGTGGATATTCAAGAAAAGAACTCGGTGTCAGCTATGTTAAGGTATGATCCTTTTGTGCTTTGTATTACTGCATTGTTTCATTCCATTAAATAGATGTTATCTAGGAATTGTTTTATTCAATGTTTTTTTTTTCTCTTTTTCTTTTTTTTCTTTTGCTTTCTGCAAGAACTGAGAAGTAATTGTTTGTGGGAGCAGGAAAAACGCCTTAGGGTGAACATGAGATTGAAAAAGTTACAGGAGAAGGTTAAGGAACATCAAGAGAAAGTTGGAGAAAAGGTATAATTCTATAGAGCTAATTCCCTACATATGCACTACACATGTCTATTTTACTTTTACATGGCACATAACCATAAGTTCTCTTTGCTCCATGCGTTTCATGTTAATAAGGATGTGTGGAATAGATTTGGGCTGAAACCATCTCTTTATCGTTTCTTTGACCTTTATTATCTCTACCATATGAAATCACCATTTTCTTTTAAAGATGTGTACTCTTTCCCTGAAAGTTTATGAGATGTGTGATCTGACTTAAGTTTTTATGATGTGATCTGGTGTGAATCTTTCTAGTCTCATTTGGTCCGGGTGTTTTATGTCTAGTTTGATCCATAGTTGTCATGGCGCATGGCGATCGCCATGGCTCAAAGGCATTTTTCATGGCGCATGGCGATGGCGCATATATGAATGGCGCATATAGCGCATATGGCGCTATGGCGACTGTCACTTTTTCATGGCGATGGCGCATATGGCGCGCGCCATATCTAGCCATTGACTACTATGGTTTGATCTAAATCGTTCTAATCTTGTCTAATTGTATCTTTACACATGAGTGGTGATAGTTTTAATGCGTCAGCTCTAACCCCTGATGATATACAATTTTTACACATTAGCAGATTAGCTCATGTAAGTCCCTTGTGTTATGAATACACGTCATTCATTGGAAGAACAAATTTTACTAATGGCTTAAACAAACTTCTTTGTAGTTATTGTACTTAAGTATCTACATAATATCTGCATGATTAATTATAAAGTTAATGCCATGTGTTTTCATGGCAATTAATTTTGTCGTTCCAGGGTGTTACATTTTTTGAATAACAAGATGAGTTTTGACTTTTGACACATTTTTGTAATATGAGGGCCTGGTGCACAGAATATGGCATTGCGTATATCAGAGTGAAGTCCTGGGCATTAAACCCGAGTCTCGATTGAAATCTTCTATCATGAAACATGGTTTTATTTTACTAATGTTACAACTTACAAGCATGTCTCTAATTTACAACTTGTATCTTTGAACTGAAGGATTATGTTGGTAACATCAATATCCTTTTTTTACCTTGGGATGGATGTATAAGAGAACCTCCATTATCTGCATTGTCACCATCATCATCGTATTATGGTGTTCTCCATGTAATAGTTTTTGGTGACTAAGCTTATAAATTGGGATTTCTTTTCAGATTCAAATCGTTGCAAAAACAGCTGGTATGCATCGCAATGAATGGATTGAAAATGCTGACCGGTTGGTTGCTGGTTTTCTTGAAATGTTTGAAGAGGGTTGTCATAAAATGGTATAAGCAGAATTCATGCAAAATGTATCTTCGAATTCTGTTTAATTTCACACGGGTAATTGGGTATGGTAAAAGCTGTTTCTATTATTATTTTTGTATTCATCAGGGAACAGCCATAAGGGATAGAATTCAAGAACGATTAAGAGGTCAGCACCAGAGGGATCTGCTAGAAAATGGGAATGGAGAAGAAGAAGATGATGATGATTACTATTATGATGATGAGGAAGAGGATGAAGAATATTTTGATGAAGATTATAATGACCACAAGCAATGACAGTTTACACGCGAATTTTTCTGTTGTGGTCTAATGTGCCATGTTGTATTATTAATGTGTAATCCAGTCATTGCAGAAGGGTATTATGACCATGAATGCAGATTTTGGAGAGTTTGTGTATCTTTTTCTTTTATAGGCGCCGTATAATCATACAATGGAAAACAGTCAAGTCCACTGCTGAAAAGCCTGAAATGTGTGTGTATTATCTTACGGTTACAGTCTTACCGAGGCAAAGTCAGCTTTAATACCTATGTGCTTTCACTAAATTTTCACACATATCAGCACTGCAATTGATGTTTTGTTTATACGATTGGTTCACACTTCACAGTTCACAACTTCACATCACTATTTCATCATTTATTCATATTTTAATTGTTTAATTGCAATATTTTGATTGACCCGACCGTATGAACAAGATATGGCACTTTAAAAGTACCGTATAATTTGTATTGTTACCATTCCTTTGTTACAATTCCTTCACAAATCATATGTTTAAATGAATTTAGGAAAAATTCGCATAAATAATTTTAACTATTACTGGTCTTCCGATATTAATCTCAAATATACATAATTCTATAATAATCTCAATTTCATAAGTGGTGTTCCCAAATTGGTCCAGAATACTTGCAACTCACTTCGCAGGTAAAAGGATAAAAAGTAAAAGAAAAAAGCTAAACAACTTTGCTTGATAGGCTATATTCATCGCAGGTCAGGGTAACAGGCGGCTGGAGATAGAGACAAGGCGGATGAACAGGGATCACGACTATGAAGGAAGGGCCATCTTTGAAGAACAAATAGGGCTGACAGGTGGATGGATGTACAGTCGACGGTGAAGAGCAGCATTGCCGGACGCCCGGACGACCGATGACGACCGAACATGGACTGACCGGCGTCACTTACCGCCTGAAACACTTTACGCTCCAAATCCAGTCCCAAGCCGGCAAGCCCCCAAGGAAAGAAATGAAATCAAAAAATGGTGAAGATCTCATATTACAAGTCGATTCAGAGCCTCTAGAATTCGAAAACGAGTTCGAGTGAGGGGAAATTCCAATTGGATTTTCCAATTTCATAGTTGAGTAGATGAAATCTACATATGGCTGTCGGCTGGAGATAGAAACTTTCCAATTGGATTTTCCATTTTCATAGTTGAGTAGATGAAATATACATATGGATATGACCTAATGACCATAGACGGTTAGTCTGTCAATGCAAAGCTGACCAACGAAGGGAGAAGAAATTAAAAGGGAAAGGAAATGGTAAAACGGAAAAGAAAAGGGAAGGACGATGAGTGATGGAGGAGGCAGAGGAAGAAGAAAGATGAAAAAGGAAGAAAAAAGGAAATAAGAAAAGAAAGAAAAATGACCATTAAAAAGATGCCCGGGGTCACCTGATAAATGGGTTCATTCAGGTCACTAGTGTTTTGGGAAGATACTTCTTATAATTCAGATTATTTCAGAATAATACTCCCTCCGTCCCAAAATTAACTTCCCGTTCGGTTTACGATGCTTGACTGACGATAAAGCAACTCGATCCCTGCTCACACTCGGATTATTTTTAGTAAATAAAATTTACATATTCAGAAACTACATTAAAGCCGCTACAAAGCCTGATCAATAAAATTTAAATTTGATAAAAATTTGATATAAAAAGTAAAAGATTACGAGTGATTCAAGTTGACCAATGAATAGTGAATGGGAAGTTGTTTTTGGGACGGAGGGAGTATGTATTTGGGATTAATATGGGAAGAATGCTGATAGTTGGGATTATTAGTATGAATTTTTCCATGAATTTATCGTGCTTACTTGGCATTGAAGTGCATTGAGTCTTGGCAGTGGCATTGAAGTGCATTCAGTCTTGGGAGTGGCATTGTGTTTAATTTATACTACTCCGTCCCTATAATTGTCTCATTTTTCATTTTTAGATGTTCCCCAATTATTGTCTCATATCATACTTGTTTGATAACATTTGTGTGGTTCTAATTCATTCTTAATTTATTCTCACCTTATCAACTCATTATTAACCATATAATTCTATTTTTTTAAAATCAACATCATTCTCTTCTATCCCAATATTAGGGGACGGAGGGAGTAGCAATAAAATATTTTAGAATTGTACGGAGTACTAAATATTGGTTGTCATATCACGTAGACTACATAAAAAGTTATTGGCTTACTGCGGTTGACTTTGTAAAAACAAATGTAAATTTTACTTACCCCTTGTCTCATTTTTACTTATTTTTCTTTCTTTTTTGGTATTTTTTAAACAAGTGTCACATTTGCTATGTTAGAAAAAATATGTAGTCTACAACATTTCACTTTATTATACTCAAATTTCAATCACACTTTTTTAAACCACTTTATAAATAATTGTGTCAAACCAGTACAATGAGTCATTTATTCTTTTTATATAGAATAAGAATATTATTACAATAAGAATCTTTTGGATAGAGATGTAAATTATATTCTTACATCTATCTCCAATCATTTTAAAATATGAATAAATGATGAAGTTGAGTAGAAATCTGATTTTGCACCCCATTTTCGGGAATGATATTAAAATTACACCATATTTACAAAATCATTAATGTATGCACTTTGTTTAATTAATATCAATTGACTTTGCACTCCATTCTTTCACAATTTTAGGATTGATGAAATGCACACATGATTTTGAAAATTTGACAAAGTTCAATATAATCTTAAATGGGATGGAAAGACAAATTTCCACTTTATAGTTGTCATTAATATTATGTAGTTATAGTCTGTGCCTGGATCGAGCTCTATTCATGGATTACTTGATGCCGCTACTTGCCCTGCTTTTATTGCTTCTGTCTACCACCCCATGTATCGCCGCTAAGAAGCGGCCGCCGTGCGATTTCCCGGCGATATTCAACTTTGGTGACTCGAATTCCGACACCGGCGGCCTGTCAGCAGCTTTTGGTCAGGCAGGGCCGCCGCATGGACAGACGTTTTTCCATCATCCTGCCGGAAGATACTGTGATGGCCGTTTGAAGATTGATTTTATAGGTAAATAAATAAATAAATGCTTTTACTTTTCTGATGTTTAATTTAATCTCTACTATATTTATCTCAGTAATTTCAATTTTATGGTTCAGTTATATATGGTATTCATCATCACCATATTTAAATAAGTTGTATTGCATGAAATTTGGTCCGCGGTGAATTTCTGCAATTTGTCGTCGAAGACAGTTGCAAAAATGAAAAAACAGAGGGCCAATAATGAATGGTGACAGCGGAGAAAGAAGAACCCCATACAACCAACAATTCTGGCGGGACCCAGCGACATCACATGCGTCGGATATCAACTCTCCACTAAAAGCCTCATCCAAATTTAAAAATTATCTTATTTTTTAAAGTAAAAAATTTTCCGTGTAAATTTGTATAAATGAAAATTTAGCGATGTTTTAAAATAGGATTATCATATTTTATTTAATAATAGATATACTTATGTCAAGTTTAGAAAATATCATCATGTTTAAAGTCTAATAATAATTATTCATATTTAGAGAAATGGAAATATTATAGATTTAGTTTGGAATTCACAGAAATTTCATCTCACTAGTATCTTTACCTATGCCATGCACGGGTTGAAATGATTTTATTTTTTAATTTTACTGACGGAAAGTCATTTATTTAATTGATTATATTGTTGGTTTTTAATGCATATTCTAATTTATTGACTATGTCTTATTTTTGAACTAATTATCTAAACATGTTTGCAGTCTATATTTTCTAATGAAAAGAACATTTTTTACACCTCTCAATTGCATTCAAATGTAATTAATCTTTTCAACCATCTTCTCCTAAATAAAAAAAAAAGAAAAGAAAATCCTCAATGCCTATTTTGTCCATTAAATTTCATATGTGCCTCACTGTTTTTTCATAACTAATTACACCTTTTTTGCAGTTTATTTAAAAATGGGTGTAGCCAATATTTTTGAAGATATTAGCTCTTATAGGTATTAGATTTTCGCAAATTAGTATTTCGATCTCTATTGTTAAGAACAACATACAATATATAGTTTGTAACATTCCTATTTTATGCGCCCCTAGAGTTACTAAACTTAACTCAGGTAAGAAAAATTTACCCTTTCTTATTTCTTTTGTTAAAGTGTTTCCTATCACATTCCAACAACCTTAATTTTTTTTTTAATTTTCTAATAAACAGATGAAAAGTTGTACATATTTTTTAATTTCTTAATGTTCTTTAAATATCTGTTTCTTTAAAAGTTCTTTTTGTTAAATATGTGTTCTTACTTAATTGTGTGTACAACATTTTGACCTTTAAGATAAAATTATTAATGTTAGAATATATTTTGAATTTGAAAAAGAAAATATCAAAAATAAGATTTTAAAATGGCAATACTTGTTTTACACTTGGAATATATGTACTTTAAATTAATTTATAATAGATTTTTATTACTCATAATTTTGAAATTGAAAAAAAAATCAAAATAAGATTTTAAAATTGCAATTCTTGTTTTACATTTGGAATATATGTACTTTAAATTAATTTATAATAGCTTTTTATTACTCATAATATCACACCATATATGCATTACAAATAATTTTCAAAATATTACTTTTCACTTATCAATCATAAAAAATAATACTTTTAAATAACTCTAAAAGGCATTCGTATATGTTTAAACTAAAACATAAGTCTAATTAAGAACATCTTTATTACTCTTATTAGTATTATATTAGGAAATTAGAATGTTTCAGGAGATTTATTGTAATCTCATATGGAGTTCTAAAGATTAGGGAGGACTCTTGTTTTTTATTGAACTGAAATTTTCTGGTATGATGTCATTTTATTTGATCTGATTTAGTTAAGTCATATTATCTGGGTATTTTTAGCTTTTTTTGCCAAACAGTTTTGCCTCATTCAACTAACAGTGAGAGCTCAACCATGTTTTGGTACCACTTGTTGGGATTCAAGTGATCATTTATAACCTAATATGAGAGAAAATACTTCTAATATTTTCAAGAATAGAAAGAAGGAAAGAAACTTTACAAACTCTAACATAAAACTCTTAGAAACACCTCATAAATCCCTCTAGATATACACACGTCCTTTTGGTTGTGTTTGTGATGACTGACGATAGAAGAGCCAGCTAGGGTGATAAGGCTCTGTATTTATATTCCAATCTCAAGTGGTGGAAGTTTGTGGAAGGCTTCTGTTGTGGATCCGTTTCTGTCTTGCCGGATTCGGCTCAGGTCGCCGGAGATCGGTTTCCGGTAGTCTCCTTGTGCACACCAAGGCTAAGGGAGCAACAACCTATTCTACCTTCTCAACACTCCTCTCACTCAGCTTCACAAAGAAGGAGTTCTCACAGTCTATCTCAAAAAGCTTCAAGAGGTGGTGGATATATACAGCTAGAGCAAGGAAGGAGCAACTGTCGGTAGAGAACAATAGCACATGAAGTAGGATGCAGGGAAGTCTCATAATAAAGAAGATTTGGCTTATTAGCTCAAGGGATTGGACGGTGCAAGGGACAACACAATCACACACCTCACTTATTTGATCTCACTTATTTGAGTTCAAATTCAAACGGGAGAAATAGACTTGGTACAAAACAAGTTTGGTAACTGGAGTAAGAGTAGTGGGTTGCTGAATAGGTTGTCAACTATTATTAATATACAAAGGCTATTTGGGCCAATAATATATTAACAATCTCCACCTTTGGCCCAAGGTAGTGCACTGAGACAATTCACGGAACCGCGGACTCATCATCGCCGAATTATTACAAGTATTATCGCAAAGATTATACAAGTAATATAAGAGAATACCCCATGTATTCTCGGATCACAAAGGGGCCAACACACCAAGCTTGCCGAGTCCATAAAGGACTTTACTCTACCATAATGGTCATCGAGTTCGAAGGGACACCAACACCAAACTATTAACAAACACTAGGTAAGTTAATAGTAAACCGATGCAACACAGAAAAAATTCATCCAAAATCAAAATTTAAAATCTTTTGACACGAAACAAATTTTTCAACAGGTAAACATTTAGTACCCATGTCAGCAGGATTAAATTCTGAAGGAATTTTCTCTAATTTTATAATTCCCTTTTCAACAATATCTCGAATATAATGAAATCTAACATCAATATGCTTAGTCCTATCATGGAAAACAGGATTTTTACACAATTGAATAGCAGATTGACTGTCAGAAAATATAACCACATTTTTGTCAAGAAAATTAATTTCATGCAAAAGACCTCTAAGCCAAATAGCTTCTTTGAAAGCTTCTGTGGCAGCTACATACTCAGACTCAGTAGTAGATAGAGCAACAATAGGTTGAAGTTGGGATTTCCAACTCACACAAGAGCCACACAAGGTAAACACATAAGAAGTTGTAGACTTTCTATTATCTCTATCATTAGCATAATTGGAATCAACATAACCAATTAATTTAACACCTTCAGAGCACTTAGAAAAAGTCAAACCAACATCCACAGAATATTTCAAATACCTTAAAAGCCATTTCAAAGCATTCCAATGAGGCATTCCAGGATTAGACATGTATCTACTCAAACAACTAACCACATATGCAATGTCGGGCCTAGTACTAACCATGAGATACATGACAGATCCTATAGCATTCGAATAAGGCACATTTTTCATTTCATTCATTTCAGTTTCAGTCTTGGGGGACTGATCCTTACTTAACACAAAATGAGAAGCAAGAGGCACATTCACAGATTTAGCATCAGACATAGAAAATTTACTCAAAACCTTATCAATGTATGATCTTTGATTTAACACTAGAGTAGATTTCTTTCTATCCCTGATAATGCTTATGCCTAAAATTTTCCTAGCATCGCCTAAGTCTTTCATGTCAAAGTTTTCACACAGAGATTTTTGGACATGCTCAATAGACTTCAAACAAGGACTAACAATTAACATGTCATCCACATAGAGTAATAAAAATATAGGCGTGGAGTCAATATTTTTATAATACAAACAATGATCGGCGGAGCTTTTAGAAAATTTTAAAGATTGCATGCACTTGTCAAATTTAATATTCCATTGCCTAGGTGATTGTTTTAAACCATACAAAGCTTTTTTCAATAAACACACATGGTCAGGCAATTTAGGGTCAACAAAACCCTCAGGTTGGTGCATATAAATATTCTTATCAAGGTCACCATGCAAAAAAGCAGTAGTTACATCCATCTGTTTTAATTCCCAATTAAAATGAGCAACTAAAGCAAGTATAATTCTAATGGTGGTGAACTTGACAACAGGAGCAAAAATTTCAGCATAATCAATTCCCTCCTTTTGAGTAAATCCCTTAGCTACTAATCTAGCTTTAAACCTCACATTTTCAGATTCTTGCTTCACCTTAAATAGCCACTTACAATCCACTAAGGAACAACTAGCGGGTCTAGGAACAAGTTTCCAAGTTTGGTTAATTTTAAGGGATTCCATTTCACTATTCATAGCACTAATCCATTCTTTGGAATATTTAGACTTTAAAGCCTCTTTAAAAGTCCTAGGTTCATTGCATTCAAGGGATTCAAATATGTTAAAGGCAAACTCAGATATATCACAATTAATCAAATTGCAATCCCTATATCTTTCTGGTTTCCTAATAACCCTTCTATCTCTATCCCTAGCAAGTTGATAGTCATGCAAATCATCATTTTCAGAAAAAACATTCTCATCATGAATATCATGCTCCACCTCATTCGAAGTACTCTCACCTTGATTTTCAAGAACATTTTCATGCAAATCATTTTTAGCAGAAAATTCAGATTGAAATTTAACAGGAACTTGCTCCACCTCATTAGGAGCATCATTATGAGGAACATGCACAGGTAAAGTCAAACAAGGAAATTCATTTTCATTAAAAATGACATCTCTACTTATAACTACTTTAAACCCTGGTTCACCCCAATCCCAAAGCCTATAACCCTTTACCCCTTCTGGGTACCCTAAGAAAACACACTTCTTAGATCTAGGTTCCAATTTATCAATCTTTTGATGCACATAACCCGCACATCCAAACACTCTTAAGTTCGTCAAATCAAGCTTCTTGCCCGTGAAAACAGATTCTGGGCACTTCCCTCCTAAGGGGACAGACGGGGACCTATTAATTAAATAAGCAGCGGTATTAAGCGTTTCCCCCCAAAATTTCTTAGAGAGACCAGATGTGGCCAACATGGCCCGCACCCTCTCTAAGAGAGATCTATTCATCCTTTCAGCAACCCCATTCTGTTGGGGTGTGTAAGGAACAGATTTATGTCTTTTTATACCCCAAGTAGCACACAAATCATTCATTTGTTTATTACAAAACTCAAGTCCATTGTCTGTCCTAAGGGCTTTAATTTTCTTTCCTGTTTGGTTTTCTATCATGATTTTCCAGTTTTTAAATTTTTCAAAAACTTCAGATTTTTGTTTCATGAGCAAAACCCAAACTTTCCTAGAATAATCATCAATAATGGAAAGAAAATATTGATTCCCTCCTTGCGTAGGAACACTAGAGGGACCCCACACATCAGCATGCAAATACTCAAGTATGTCAACACACTTAGATTGATTAGGAAAAGTAGAAATAGGGAAGCTAACCCTATGTTGTTTTCCTAACACGCATGATTCACAAAATTCAATAGGGGATAATTTATCACTACCAAAGTGACCATTTTTATGCAAAATATCTAATCCCTTATTACTCATGTGACCTAATCTATTATGCCATAAAATAGATTTATCACCTATCACAGAGTACACATAATCAGGTACAGGTTCAGCTTGACACACATACAAGTTATTTTTCTTTTCAGCAGTAAAAATAACAAGAGATCCTTTCATGATTTTCATAACCCCTTTCCCCCATTTTCCCTCAAAACCTTCATTTTCAAGGGATGCACATGAAAGCAAATTATAACGTAAATCAGGAACATGCCTAACATCTTTCAAAGTGAACACAGAGCCAGAAGAAAATCTAAGGCATACATCACCAGTTCCTAACACGTTGCATTTCTTTTCATTAGCCATAGACACATAGCCATTTTCAATTTTCTTATAATTTGAAAAAAGATTTTCAAAGGGAGTCATATGAAAAGTACAACCGGAGTCAACTAACCAATCAGATTCACATAGGGAATTAGAAAGCACAGAATTAACACATGCATGATCACAAAGATTATTAACCATAAAAATATCACCCATTTTTTCTTCACCAAAAGCCACATTAGCATGTTCATTATGCTGATTTTTCTTAGGCTTAGGACAGTCCTTAATGAAGTGACCAAATTCATGGCAATTATAGCATTTTCTGGCCTTAGATCTAGACTTAGATCTACCCTTCCTATTCGCAGAATTCTTCCTAAAACTTGATTCTCCATTACTAGCATAATTTTTGTTATGAGACCTATTCTGAGGTCTACCCCTAACATGCATCACCTCACCCGAATTCTTACTTCCCCTAGATTGCTTTAAATCTAATTCTTTGCTTTTGAGACCATTAACAACAATATCTAGAGTTATATTATCTCTACCATATTTAATGGCAGATTTAACATCACTATAAGAATCAGGTATGGCATTCAATAAAGCAATGGGAGTATAATCATCTATGTGTTTGTCACCGGACAACTTAATATCGGAAATAAGTTTTGTGAAAACATCAAGATTTTCTTCAATATCTTTAGACATGTCAAGTCTAAATTTGAAAAATTTTTCAAGTAAGAACATTCTACTCGGTAGAGAGGTTTCAGTATAAAGCTCTTCAAGTTTATCCCACAAAGATTTGGCAGATTCTAAAATTCCTACTTTTCTGAGCACACAATCAGATAAGTTCAAGTAAATTATAGAACACGCACTTTCATTCATTTCTGCCTTTTTCTCTTCCGTATCGGAAGTCAAATAGGTTTGACTAATTGCCCTATATGATTTTTGTTGAATTAATATGCATTTTATTTTCTGTTTCCATATGCTAAAATCAGTTTTTCCATTAAATGGAGCCATTCCGTACTGATTAAATGCAGACATTTTCACACAGAAAAATTAACACAAAAAATAAAAAATGCAACTATAGCTAGAAAAACAGTTCAATATTTATAGGGCTAAACAGTAGCACAAATAAATATAATTCTAGCAAGTATTAAATCAACAATAAATTTTAACAGTTTAAATTAAATGAAAAACAGTAAATGAAATTTCATTTAAGAAAACTTACAGTAGCCAAACACTAGGAGAGTGTTTGGACCTTACCCACCCACAAAAGGGATTTTGGAAGTTGACTGAATTTTTGACCAAGTCCAGCCAGAAAGCTCCTGCTTGAACTCCTCTGCTTCTGTGCCAGCTCCAGCAGTCCAGCCTTCGGCCAGCAATTAGTCCAGCAACCCCACACGGCCAGCTTTGACCAGCCCCAAACAAAAAAAAACACTTCCAGCCCAAAAACAATCCACTGCTTCCTTTTTTTTTTTTTCTTCTTCTCCTGCTTCAAGTATTCTAGCGTCAACAACACGCTCCAGCCCAACACCTCCACAAACCAGCTCGCAGACGGCAGCTCCTATGGACCAACGACGAACAGAGAACGGAGAGAACAACTCTCAGGTGGCGGCTCCAGATCGCGAACCAATAACCGAGCCGTGCCTGGAAGTCCACGAACGAGTTCTGCCTCAGCGTCCAGCGAGATCTCCAGCGTGAAGTCCTCGTCCAGCTTCAGCACCTGCGGCGTTGATTCCCAGGTAGTCGGCAGCTCCAGCGGCACCTCCACCCTCGAGCTCCGGAATTGACTAACGACGGACGGGGTTGGGGCGGTAAGGTTCTAGCAGCACCAAAGAACCACGACTCAGATCTGGCAGATCTTCCAGAAGCTTCAACCGGCGGCAGACGGCGGCAGACGGCGGCGGACGGCGGCGGACGGCGGCGGACGGCGGCGGACGGCGGCGGACGGCGGAATGCAGCGAAAACGTTGGCGAAGACAGCCCTTGGCTCTGATACCACTGTTGTGGATCCGTTTCTGTCTTGCCGGATTCGGCTCAGGTCGCCGGAGATCGGTTTCCGGTAGTCTCCTTGTGCACACCAAGGCTAAGGGAGCAACAACCTATTCTACCTTCTCAACACTCCTCTCACTCAGCTTCACAAAGAAGGAGTTCTCACAGTCTATCTCAAAAAGCTTCAAGAGGTGGTGGATATATACAGCTAGAGCAAGGAAGGAGCAACTGTCGGTAGAGAACAATAGCACATGAAGTAGGATGCAGGGAAGTCTCATAATAAAGAAGATTTGGCTTATTAGCTCAAGGGATTGGACGGTGCAAGGGACAACACAATCACACACCTCACTTATTTGATCTCACTTATTTGAGTTCAAATTCAAACGGGAGAAATAGACTTGGTACAAAACAAGTTTGGTAACTGGAGTAAGAGTAGTGGGTTGCTGAATAGGTTGTCAACTATTATTAATATACAAAGGCTATTTGGGCCAATAATATATAGTACCATAATTTTATAAAATTAGCAGTTATGGATGCGAAGTATTCAGATTGAGGTCCTCTGTCCAACTGGCAGAGTGCCTTGCGCAACCAGCAATCGGATGGGAAGAAGAGCGCCTCGAGACACGCGAAAAAGTGGACTACAGCAATCTCCCACCGTTGAGCTCTCGATTAGACGGTCTTCCTTGGCCAGACACCTTACCTTGCTGCTAGAGCAAGGCAGAGACTCCGAATCCGTAGTATTCAGTTCTTCAAATGTGTCACACGGCACACAATAGACAGCTCATAAATTTAAAGTTAACAAACCATCCATTATTTTGTTTCGATGTTGAACAAATCATTAACGTTTGTCTTTCATACGTGCTCACGATTGATGTGTATTAGTATTCTTCATCTAAACGTACTAAAATGATCAAAGAACACATTGTAAACTTAATGTTTTAGCCATCTTTTCTTTATACAATGCATGTGATTCTATATATCTATGATCCATCATGTATAGCATTTGTCTAGCTACTTGATTAAAAAACGTAGGCATGTCATTGTTTTGCATCTCTCAACACTTGAAGAATTGAACTGAAGTTTATTCCCAAAGATAGGATAATTTTTTAACTTGTCAGGCAATCCTTGTTTCATTTTCATATTTTGAAGACATTTGCCTTACATTTACATAATCTTTTTCAGCTTCTCTTCTCCCATTTCTACCCCATCCTGCTACTTTTCTTAATTTCTCTATAATACCTACAAATAAAAGGGACACTGGAGGGAATATGTCCTTAGGCACTTGGCATTTGTGATTGAAATGCTAATATTCATAATCATATTAGAAAAGTGAATAGAAGACGAAAGTGGGTGCTCTAAGTTTAAGACAGAGGAGCTGAATAAGGGTTAATATAGATAATAGATGGAGTGAATGGAAAGAGAAAATATTCAAATTTATATTAGCTAGTATTACAAAAACAAGCCATACGATGGAACAACTTAGTTTATATAGAAAAATAAAGCCAAGGCATATAAAAGGTAGGGCGCGCTGAAGTTGATTAATTAAATAAATTATATATGGTGGCAGTGATTAACTTGTATTTGGTTGGATGTAATTGCGTGCAGCTGAGAGGTTAGGGATACCATATCTAAGTGCATTTTCTGGACGCATTGGGGTCAAACTTCACGCATGGGGCCAACTTCGCGACGGCGGGTTCGACCAATCCCGGTACCTCAAAATACAACCCTGCATCAAAGCGGTTTCAGCCCTTTCTCCTTGAATGTGCAGTTTAATCAGTTCAGCGACTTCCATCGCCGCTGGCCTCAGACCATTAAACTCCACAACAACAGCGCCGGGGCTGATGTATTCTCCAGAGCTCTGTACACATTTGATATTGGACAGAATGATTTAACGGCAGGCTACTTCCTGAACATGTCAACAGATCAAGTAAGAGATTATGTTCCTGATGTAGTGGATCAGTTTTCGTCCATGGTGAAGAGTGTGTATGATGATCAAGGGGGGAGACACTTCTGGATACATAATACGGGTCCGGTGGGTTGCCTTCCGTATGTGTTGGTAAGAGCGGGGGGAGGGGGCGGAGGGTCGACCAGTGGGGATGCGCGGCTGCTTTCAACGAGGTGGCCAAGTATTTCAACAGCAGGCTGTGGCATGCCGTGGTCCAGCTGAGGAAGGATCTCCCACTGGCTACCCTCACCTATGTTGATGTTTATTCTGTCATGTATCACCTCATCACTCATCCCACCCAACACGGGTTTGTGCACCCACTGGAGGCTTGTTGTGGAGATGGGGGGGAAATACAATTACAACAGGGAAATAGGATGCGGAGGGAAGATGAAGTTAGCGAATGGGACGGA